GTCCACGCTCCTTACGCCACTGTTTACGGTGCATGACTTACGTAACTATTAGTATACAAATCAATTTACTGTTATTGAGGTCAGCTTCACAACAAAGACCCAAACTTCATTGTTAATTTTAATTTATGCTCTCGCCATTGTTGCTATTCGTAGACATTTAACAAAAGAAGATAACTGAGAGGAGTACTTCTAATTATGGTTGCACGAGAGCATACACGTATCTTCTACAGTGCTTGGGCCTATATTTACTATGCGAACACGTCATCAGCTCCTCGAGGAAGAAGGTCAGATGGTTTTCTACACACAGAGCCGGAGCGCGTTCGTGTCACAACAATGTGCACGCGTTTCGACGCTACTAGGTGTGCGCGGATTAGTCCATTCAAGTAGCTGAGGTGGCCGTCTTACAACACACTAAGTTTGTGTCCCCTTTTTACCTCACTCGCGCATGCTGTGCGTACTCACTTACTAACCCGGTGTTGATTTTGGTTGCATCAGTACCATATCAACCGTTAGGGGGTATATATCATTCCTCTGTCGTCCCTCTCTCTCTCAGTGTTCTTGGACGCAACGCTTGTGTACGTACACCACTTTCGATCCGTTGTCTTGTTAAATTACTATGAATAGGGCTAATTCCTTTTGGCAAAATTTGAAGAACGTGTTTGGTCGACCTAAGGACAAAAGTGATACAGTCAAGGAGAATGAGGAAAACGGACATATCTTGCCTCTTGACCTGATAGAGGGTAAGATTAAACCGGCTACGGACGATGGGAAAGTTATTGATTATGATGGCGGAGAGATGGCAACACCAGCACAAGGAGGGGACCTTCCGGAGCGAGGAACTTGGAGCACCGGAAAACTTGGCTTTATCTTTGGTTGTCTTAACTACGCTGTTGGGCTGGGAAACGTCTGGCGTTTCCCATATCTGTGCTATGAAAATGGTGGAGGTATTTCATTTTCTGTTGAATATATTTTCAAACTGATGTCTAGGGTTAAATTTTGAATGGTGGTTATTATTTTATTTTTTTAAGTTTAATAACTCTAAAGAAGTTTAGTAATATATCACTGTGTGTGTGTGTGAGAGAGAGAGAAAGAGAGTGTGTGTTGATTGTGTGCATGTTTACGAGTGGATACACGTGTTTCCCTTAAACACTAATTTTTACCATGTCACGTGATAACCCTAACATATTCTTGATCCGTTAATTGTTTGATCTTTTTGGGAAACACCAAAACTAGCTTGCTAGTTCTTCAGATTGATGAACAAAGTTAATTTAAGTAAAAAATAAATAATATGATGTTATTAATCCTTGCCCTAATTCTTATAAACCAGAATTAGGGCAAGTATTAATAACAAGGATTAAGATTAAGTTAGTGATGTGTAATTTTTAACAACTTTAATGAGTCATTTATAAACCAGAATTAGGGCAAGGATTAATAACAAGGATTAAGATTAAGTTAGTGATGTGTAATTTTTATCAACTTTAATGAGTCATTTATAAACCATTTGTATCAACTTTAATGAGTCATTTAAGATTAAGTTAGTGATGTGTAAAGTGAACACCGCAACAGCTGCTGTTCGCGCAATTTGATAATATAAAGAGCGTTTCAACCACCATTGTATTGGACGTTATACTTTATTTTCACTCATAAGTTACTAATTATGGTTCCACCAAAATTTGTCTGTTACGTTTATTTACTGGAACGTTTTATGTGATAACAAGTAGGAGGATACATATTCGTGAAAATTGTAACGTTTCATCATGAGCCCCGTGTTTCATTTCGTATTGCACACTTGTGTAATATATGTGTGTAATGTGCATTGGTGTAACCAGCTGAAATTAACTAATTAACTACATCAGTCCGTTAGGTATGATTAACTGTGTACGTATACATTTTTGTATTCTCAGAATATCATTACATCATCTCGGAGGATCATTACATCATTGTTTACTGCGTCTTCTCGGGTGATTGTTAATGAATATTCCAGGAGGATTTTTATAAGTCTTCTCAGAGAACGGTTACAACCGTAAACTATTTATTATTAAGTACACCTATTATGAGAGTCCAAAGGAGACATACACTTTGATATTAGAGTCAACAAAAAATAGGGCAACCAATTAGTGCTGAAAGTTAATGAAAAAATACATCCAATCAATGTTAGTTATAACTGATGCGTGAGATTGTTTCATTCTTAGCAAGCAATGTTTAACAATGAAATCAATAAATAAAAATAGCTAATACAGCTAGCTTCAACCAGGGTAACTCCTCTGTAACGCGTTACTGTTTATCTAGATTTCTAACTTTGGTAAGGACTTGTCTAGCAGCATACTATTAGCCATAGTCTCCCCTTGATGGGGACTTGTCTAGCAGTACAATATTGGTCATAGTATTCCCTTGATGGGGACTTGTCTAGCAGCATACTATTAGCCATAGTCTCCCCTTGATGGGGACTTGTCTAGCAGTACAATATTGGTCATAGTATTCCCTTGATGGGGACTTGTCTAGCAGTACAATATTGGCCATAGTATTCCCTTGATGGGGACTTGTCTAGCAGTACAATATTAGCCATAGTATTCCCTTGTTGGGGATTTGTCTAGCAGTACACTATTAGCCACAGTCTCACCTTGTTGGGGACTTGTCTAACAGTACACTATTAGCCACAGTATCACCTTGTTGGGGACTTGTCTAGTAGTACACTATTAGCCATAGTATTCCCTTGTTGGGGATTTGTCTAGCAGTACACTATTAGCCATAGTATTCCCTTGATGGGGACTTGTCTAGCAGTACAATATTAGCCATAGTATTGCCTTGTTGGGGATTTGTCTAGCAGTACACTATTAGCCATAGTATTCCCTTGTTGGGGACTTGTCTAGTAGTACACTATTAGCCATAGTATTCCCTTGTTGGGGATTTGTCTAGTAGTACACTATTAGCCATAGTATTCCCTTGTTGGAGACTTGTCTAGCAGTACAATATTAGCCATAGTATTGCCTTGTTGGGGATTTGTCTAGCAGTACACTATTAGCCATAGTATTCCCTTGTTGGGGATTTGTCTAGCAGTACACTATTAGCCATAGTATTCCCTTGTTGGGGATTTGTCTAGCAGT